TTTTTATCCTGCAAATGACTAGTTCTGTGTTTTGATTTTAAGGAACGTAAAAGACTAGTATCCTTTTGATCTGAGGTTTTTTTCTCTTCTGAGGATCCTTTAAAAGTTAATTTTAGTATTTTCCTATTTCTCTATAAGAACTAAAAGTCATTTCGTTAAAACTTAAAGTTTAGTTATCAGTATCTTTTTCGCTAAGAGTGGTATTAGCAATTATAGTTTCTTTAGGTAGGTAATTTTTTTGAAGGGAGGAGAGATTTTTTTCAGCAGATTTAGAGGTATCGCTATTTTTGAGAGTTGCTTTTTTAGAAGGTCTAGTTATTCTAAAAGGAGAAGAATTATGACTTAGATTTACAAGTGATATATTGAGGTATGTAAGTAAGTTACCTTAAAATTTCTTTAGAAGAAGTCAGTTTCAGCTTAAGTTCAAATACAATATATAACTACTCTTTCAAAGGTTGGTATTGGTGTGTTTCTGTATCAAGAGTTTATTTATAATATATTTCTCTTATACTAGTAGACTCTATAGCAATCGCAGTCTGAAAAGCTTTTAGGCTTTTGTTAGTATATAATGATACTCCTAAAACCTGTTGTGCTTACTCAAAGAAGTTAAAAAAGGGTTGCAGAATCTCCTTAGGTGGTAGATTACAAATGATACAGAATAGGTCATCTGTTAAATTAAAATTATCAGTAGATTTTCTAAAGTTATACTCTTGCTTATTATGTATAGCTGAATAGTTCCATTAGTATTTTATCAATTCTCTGAAGTTGTTTATAGAGTATTTCTTATAGTATTATGTAAACAGGAAAAAAGGATTCTGTTATTATCGCTAAATGTTAACATGCAATCTTTTTAGATTACAACTGTTAGACATAGTGTCAGAAGGTTAACTCTTTTATAGTTTACGTAGTAATTTTAATTAGTTTATGATAATCTTAGCTAATTTGTTACCAGTTTATTGTGTTGAATCAAGTTTATTAGATGCAAGCGACTTTAATTTCAAGTTAAGAGTTTTTACGATAAGTTCAAGAAGAATTTTAGATAAAAATATAGAAAATATTTTATTTAAGAAAAAGGAAAATAATAAGATAATGATACATGAAAGAAATAAGGAAAGAGAAATAAGAAATAGAGATATACGAGATGAAGAGTAATATTACGCTATCTTTTATAAGAAGGTTCTATACAGCCGTCGGTCTTGTCTCTTCTAATTGACAAAGAGGTTGTATTTATATTTATTCTATTACATATTTTAATATATCTAATATATTAACTATATTAACTATCAATTATATTAACTATGTTAGACATATCTGATATGTTAGATATATTAGCTATATTAAACATATTAGACATGTTAAATATGTTTGACATTATCAACATTTGTACTTTACCACACAATTGTAGATCTATAATCATCAAGATTGATATCTGGTCACAATACCTTTTATATAAACTAAATTATAATACTAAGATATTTAAATAAGATAAATTATAAAATAAAAAATATAATAAATAATAAAAATAAGAATAAAAAATAGAAATGTTAAAAATATTAAAGAAAGTTGTAAATGTAATAATATTAATTTTTTAAGAATATTAAAATTAATATACTAAATTTGCAGCTCTTGCAAAATTTCATTCATATGTTTTATAAACAAGATTTTTAAATTAAGATTAAAGATTATAGATTATTTTAAGAGTTATTTTCTGATATGCTTAACTCCTAAAGTTTTAAAAGGGTAGTAGATTTATTAGAAGCTTACTAACAATACAGATCTATATTGAGTTTATTTTGCAGGACTATAAGTTTTAGTCTCTATTATTAAAGGTATTTGTAAAGGATAATATTCTATTTTTCAATCTAGCAGCACAAAGTAATGCTTTGTAAGTTACTTTTACTTTTTGAAAGGTCAAAAGTATGATGAAGGGATATCAATATTTGTCATTTAACTTCTTGAAATAAAGTCATCATAATGAAAAATTTTAAGATTTTTTAACGGATTTCAGTTCTTTATATAATAATTTAAAATTCCCAATTATGGTAAGGTTTAATAGATTTTCATTTATTAGAATTCATACTTTTCCAACTATTTCTCACCACCATTTATTGTATTTAAAAATTGTGTTTAATGTTTGCAATAAGCCTTGATTGAAAATTCATTGTTTAGTTGTACTATTTAAGTCACTATATTTCTTAAGGTAAATAAAATCGGTAACATTATGAATGCTAATGTTAACTACATTCACAACAAGAATGATTCCAATCCCTATTATGTTCTACTCAAGATCCCAAGCAAATAGGCAATAATACCATCTAAACACATGACTTAAAAGCGTCTCTACTATTTACTTAAATAGAACAATTTTTTAATTTTAAAAGAATAGTACCTGTTTGTTTTGATAAATGAATCGTTGTACATTTCAGCTTCATCAAAATCGAAGTAATTAGTAGAAGAAAATTCTTGTTCATTAATCATTTGTATTTTGCTTAATTTTAAAAATTTAAAGGAAATTTGCAATTTTTTTTCAAAAAAAAAGGATAAAGGAAGAAAAAATTTTGGAGAGCAAACCATATAATTACAAACATTTTTATACCTTTTAGAAAAGTTTTTGGTAGTACCTTATTTTTCTAATATCCATAATTCATGAATAGCTGAAATTATAACCTTTGCTCAGACTGTTAATTTAGCACAGGAGAGGATCGAAATGAGGATTCAAATGGAAGTTATTTCATGAAAATTTGACCAAGTTATTTAAATGTTATAGTCTGACCGAAATCATAGATTTATAAATCCCGGAAGGCCAAGGTTAGCTCGCGTTACAAAACGTATCCGCAATTATCACAAAATTTAATAAAAACTTTTTTCATTATATATTCTTCATTTGATAAATTCCTTAATCATCTACCAACCCAATCAAGTTAGCAGCTGCAATTACGCCTTTACCAGTTGTCATAATTTATTCGTCCTAACCTTATAGCCTTAATACTTGGAATGCAAGATCTTATCTAAGGTATTTGATAACTACAATCCGCTTTGAGTATTAAATCAGTGTTTTTTTAAGCATACATGATTAATTTGGCAAGCGCTCGTCACTTTTATTCCTAATCTCGTTGTATAATTCAAGCATTATTTATACCATTAATTTATCAAATATTTTTTGGTCACGTTCAAACCATGTAATGGGACCTCATGAAGAATTTTTAATTGCGTATGACTGGACTTGCAAAAGTCTGTTTGATTCAACTCCTATCCATAAACTATTGCACCTATTATTTGAGGAAATTGCTGCGCCGCTAGTGATTATCAAATCGTCATTTCTGACCTGTCATTTCGGCCATTTATGACGTTTTCCCATCATTAATGATATTTTAGGAATTACCGCGGCAGAATTTCTAGATCGAAGATTTAATATAAACTTCGTTTCGCTTTTGTAGATTCTCTTCTCTTAAAGAGCGTCGGCTGGGGTAGGAATAGTTGGTTTTCTGGTATATTTTTTTTAATAATAAAAATATTTCCTATTTCTTTCTTGTTAAATGATCGACGAAAATATAGCATTATTAGTCGATCGTAATTTCCAAAAGTTTGTACCACATTTTTTATGAAAAAGTTCATTTAAGGTTTCTCCAAAATTTTTGTAACATAGCTCAGAACGGGGGGGTATTAGGTTGATCCGTTATATCTGGATGGAAATTCAACGTTAGATTTCGGTAGCGTTTATTAACTTCATCATCTGAAAGAGGCAAGATATCTTCCTTATGAGGAGAATTCAATAGATAATATAAGGTTGGCGTGATTATATAAGAAATTCTTATAGATTTTCTGATAATTTTCAAAAGTCTTTGGTATCTCACTAAGTTCTTTTAAACAATTTCCGATTTTTAATACACTTAAAATGCTTTGAAGTACATTTATGTTGATCAACTTTAATTAATAAAAAAATATCCAAAAATTATTAAAAAAAAATTTTAAAATAAATTTAAAAAAAGAATCACAAAGAAAATAAAACTTCACAGCCTTACCACAGCCTCAGATACGAGAACCTAAAAATAAAAATCAAAAAATTCCTACCCATCACTAAAAATAAAATCTTATCAGTTATCACTGCGGTCGAATCGAAAAAAAAAAGCGAAAGGCGCAAGATATTTTTGAAAATATCCGAAAACGATCATCTGATCAATGCCTCATTTCGATCTAACCAGATTTAGGTTAATTATCAAAAAAAAAATTTTTCGTTATGTAAGCAAAAAAGAAAACCCTTTCATTCGTATTCCATATAAGCATGATGCACAAAACATGAAAGCATTCAAGCAAATAAATTGAATTTATTTGTTAGCCCTAAAAATAATTTCTATTTCAACCATTGAAACCTGAAAATTATCGGTTGTCCGATTTTTGTGAAACTTCGTTAATATTTATTCCAGAGGTTTTAATTATATTCAAATTCGTCTTTTTATTTATTTCTCATTTTTTTTTTGAAATGCACCTAGGCAATCATTCCAGACTATTTATTAGCTTCTAAAAAAAAAGAAAAGAAAAAAAAAAAAATGATTAAAATGGAGGTCAAAAAGTTTTTTTCGCAGTAAATAAAATTAAAAACCGATGCACACTTATTTTTCATAATTAGAAATAACATTTTGGCCCCGAATAAAACAACCCAATTTTTGGTAACCCGCGTGTCCATGTGACCATCATCAAAGGAGTGATGCATCAATGAAACGTTTGTGGAGAAGCTTGCGTATGAACTATGTGGGGTTGGCTAGCCTAATCTAATTTTGGAAGTTATCGGTTATTCAGTAGTAAAATATAAAAAAACTTTTTTCTTCCAAAACTTCCTTCTTTTTGTAGAAAAAAAGAAATGGACTTGGAATCTTTTAATATTAATTGTATGTTGCGTCACGTCATACGATTATTTTTCAATGTGAGCTTTTGTAATACATACGAAACAAGCATAAAATAGCTTGAAATTTCGTCAAGTCGATCAAAATATAAATAATAATATGTGGGAACTTTTAATGCGAATGATTACTTATTTTCTTACAAAACTAGCAATAACGAACAAATATCAAATATGGATAGATGATGCTTGTAGTGGAAACTATTTGAATCCTTTTAAATACTCGGAGTTTACGGATATCGAAATTATAGGATATGGTGGTTTTGGATGTGTCTATAAAGCTCGTTGGAAACATAACATCTTCGCTTTAAAGTCCTTTAGTATTGATAAAGTAACTCTGAAAGAAGTTGTAAATGAGGTATAATTATTACACTTGTTTTATTTTGGGTATATCTATAAATCGCTTTGTTAAATTTGACTCATAATATAGATAAAATTACAAACGGTAGTCCACTTCCATGAAAATATCATAAAACTTTGCGGTATCACAAAGACAGACGGTATGGGTCAATATATATTTAAACTTTTTATTATTTGATTTGATTTATACATTAAATCTGTCTAAAATTTTTTTTTTTTTTTTCAGATTTCATTAATCAATTAAAATATTTATTGGTTTTGGAATATGCTAATGATGGGACGTTAAGTTCTTATCTAAACAATCGTGAACTAGATTGGGATGATAAGCTTCGTTTGGCCATGCAACTATCAAGTGCTGTAGCATATGTACACGAATTTGATATTGTTCATCGCGATTTGGTAATTGCGTTTTTTAATTTTTTGATTATTAATTATCTTATTCCTTAATAATGTTTCTTTTATTAAATAAAATTTATTTTTGTATAGCATGCAAATAACATACTTATACATCGGGATAATATTAAGGTTGCAGATTTCGGTTTGTCAAGGAAGATCACTGATGCTGACGCCCCAGGTTCTGACGTTTCAAGTGATACAAAAAATTTTGGTGTAATACCATATGTAGATCCAAAAAGGCTTCAAGATTCAAATTACAAATTGGACAAAAAATCTGATGTATACAGTGTTGGAGTATTGACATGGCAAATTTCAAGTGGACAACACCCATTTTATGCCGAAACTAATGAAAGTTTATTACGATGGATTATAATTGACGGAAGAAGAGAAAATCCTATTAAAGGGACTCCTGTTAAATATATTGAGTTATATGAAGGTAAATAAGATCAATAGCATTTAATTTATTAACGTTAACGGATTTAGATAATTAAGATAGTTTATACTAATTTTAATCATTTACTAAATCCGATAAATTAGATTGTTGGAGCAGTGATCCAAATGAACGTCCAGATATGCGATTTGTTGCTTCAAAACTTGAATCAATATATTTAAATAAAATGATGCATAACCCAAGCATTCCAAATATCAATATAGGTAACGGGATATACTTATCAAATGAACTTAAATCAATTATTGATTCAATTTTTGAATTAGATATCAATGACTTCATAAAGTTATCTGAAAAGATCAAATCAAATATAACTGAAAATTCTTTAATTACATTAAATCAAGCAACTGCATCATCAACAGAATATGTTAATGAGCTATTTATTTTTCTAATTAATCAACTTACAAGAAAACTCATAGAAATGTTAGAAAATATTTGGTTGTACAAATTATTTCATTATTATAATGCTAGTAACAAAAAATATAAATAAACATTATATTATCTTCATTGAATTATTAATATTAATAACTTTATAATACTTAGAAAAGTAACATTTAATAGTAATCTGTAATATTTGCAATATTTCTGTATTTTCATCCACTTGTTTAATTAGAAATTACATCATATTTCTTTCTAAATCAGAAATGAGTGTTTTATATAACTTCTTGCAATTTTGTAAATTTTTATTTCTTAAATATTTCTTTATAATTTAAGTAAATATTCTAAAAATTCTAATGCTCAAAAATTCTATACTATATAATCTCAAATAATAAAATTATAAAATTGAAATTTTTGATTAATACAAAATCTTTATTAAAGATAATTACTATATTATTTAAAATTATTTAATTGTATAATTATATAGAGCTATACTTATATAATTTTATTACTATTACTAAAAATATCAGATGTGTGATAAATTAACTAAAAATCAGTTTAATTAAATTTAAATTTATTCTAAAATTAAATCTTATTAAGATTCACTAAATTCAACTTATCATTAAAATCAAGTTATAATTAGTTATAATTAGTGACAAATAATAATTACAGTACTATTTTATTTTAATACTAAAAATTTTTAAAATTTTAATTTGATATTAAAATTAAAAAAATTAAAATAAAGTATTTATTAAATTTATTTACAAATAAAAAATAGTAATTATTATTTTTATTATTTATTAAAATAAATTAATCAGATAATCAACTAAATTTTAAACTTATAATAATAAAATATAAAGATAAAGAAATGTAATAATTATATAATACTTATTTATTGCTGATTATATATAATTACTATATCATTTTTATACAAAGCTAAATAATTTTTTATTTACAATTTAAATTATAAAAATTATTAATAAAGAATATTTTATAATTATATTAAAAACTTATTTTTTATAAATTATAAATATTAACTTATTAAACAGATAAAAAGGTTTTTATTAATTTTAAGTAAATTCAAAAATTAATAGATTTTATATTTTATTTAGTAAAATTTATTTAGATTTAACATTAATATAAATAATAATTTTTTTTAGATATTTTTTTTATTACAAAGTATTTATTAAATATATTTATTAAATAATCTTTTAAATATTTATATTATTTACTTTTTAATTATAAATTTATTTAAAAATGAAAAACTTTTAAATTATATTATTTAAATAATAAAATAATAAAATTATTATCAATAATATAAAAGTTATATATTAATTAATTTTATAAAAAAAAATAATTAAACTTGTAAAAAGTTATGTAACAGTAATATTTTAAATAATTTATATTATTTTTAAAATTAGTAATTTAAATATTATAAAATTATTGTCTAAATTAATCAAATAATTTATATAATAAAAATAATTCTCATAAATTATTTAAAATATTATTATCATATATTAATAAATATTTTTCCTATATAGGACGATCAATAGAAAAGGGAAAAATCTACAAATTATGAGTAATTTTAGTTATTAAGCTAATTTTGTTCACATGATCATAATTAATAGAGTGAAACAATAAAAAAATTTTGACTAAAAAGTGACTATATATTATATTTTAATACTTTTATATAAGATTTAATATATAAATATATTTCTATAATTACAAATTAAATATTTCAAATTTAATTTATTTATTTTAAATAATAATCTTTTTTTTAATAAAAGAATTTTAATTTATTAAGTATAAATTTATTATTATTATATAAATAAATATTAATACTTATTTTAAACTTTATTTTAAATAATATATTATATAATTAACAAAATTTATTAGAAATATATAAAATTGCTTATCTAAATTTATTTTAGATTTAATAAAATATCTAAACTTTAATTTTACTAATTTTTTATTAGAGTTTTAATATAGTTTCACTATTATATAAATTTTGATATTATTTTATCATTTTCTTAGTTTTACAATTTTTTTAATAAGTTTTTGCTAAATTTTACCTTTTATTATTTTGATAACTTATAAAATCTCTAAATTTTATCTAGCAATCTTAATTAAATATAATTTATATATTTGATAAAAAAATTTAAAATTCTTTTCTTATTAGTCCAGAATAAAGTGAAGAACTATATATGTCTATGCAAAATGTCCTAATATCTGCTTACTCAAAAAATAAGTCAATACTGATTGATTTTTATAATATTTTTTAGTTAAGATCATTCTGGACTTAACTACAATCTCTGTTTTCTAGTTTATTCATTAATTAAAAATCTATTTAATAAAATGTTTAATTTAAAAATAACATTAATTTATAATTTTTAAGCATTTTAATTTATTTAAAATAATATTAATAAATATATTAAGTTATATATTTTTTAAAATTTATAAATAAAAATTTTTTTTTATTTAAAATATCTAGTTATCATAAAAATTAAATTATGTAAATTATTATTAAATATAATAATAATATAAATAATTTAGTTTAATATTATATTATTTATTTATATATTTTTATTATTTTAAAATTTAATAACTAATAATTTTATATTATTTATAATATAAAAATTAAATTTATTTATAATCAATACTAGATTTGAAAAATGATTTATATAAATATATATTTTAATTTATATAATTGTAATTTATATAATTAAACTTAATAAAATATTTTAAAAAATTTAAGATTTTTAAATTTGTTTAATTCAATTTTAATTTGTTAGAGATATATATTAAATTTTTATATTTTATTATTTTATAAATAATATAAATAATAAATAAATATTTATAAAATAAATTAATAATTTTTTTTATTTAATTTATATTAAAATTTTAATTTTAAGATTTATATATAATATAAGAATTATAAAGCTTTAGATTTAATAATAGTATTTAATTTATTTTTAAAATAAAATTAACATACTTTAAAAATTTAGTATTAAATAATTGATTTATAATAATTTTATCATTTTATATTTAATATATATTTTTTATTTTTTTATAATTTATTTACTTTTATTATTTATTTAAATGATTATATTTATTATTATTATTATATGAAAATCTAAATAATATTAGCATAAAATTTATATATTTGAAGTTAAATTATCCTTTAAATTATAAAGATTTATAAGTAAATTTGTCCGCTTATTTACTATAAAATTAATTTTATAAATATATATTTTATTATAGTAAATTTTATTTTTTAATTATATAATAAATAATTTAAGGTTACTTATAAACTAAAAATTTGTAATTTTTATAAAAATTATAAATTAAAAATTTTATCATTGACCTTTGATTATCTTATTAACATTTACTTTTAGCAATATTAATTATAATAAAATATTATAAAATTTATCATGAAGAATAACTTTAATTATTATAATTTTTATAATTTATTA